TAAAAGTAAACAACGTATTTAATGCTATTAAGATATTACTTTTAGTAATTGTTTTTACTTAACATGATACTTATAAAAGTAAACAACGTATTTAATGCTATTAAGATATTACTTTTAGTAATTGTTTTTACTTAACATGATACATGATAAAAGTAAAAAAGTAAGAGTAAAAATGCAAATATTACAACATTTAAACTACTTTAATTAGTCATAGAAAACTACTTAATACGTTCATGCTGACAATAAAACACATGTTATTTTTAAAGAGTACTTAATTGTATTATTGTAAAAAGCTATAAAACAACAATAAAACAAACTGCAAAGTTGTTTTAATAATATAAAGAGCTTTTGTTAATGTAAAACTTCATAACGCTGTTTTATTACTGTTTTATACTGTTTATAAGCTTAATAACATAAAAACGAAGTAAATAAATAGAAATTTTTATAGACTAGGGCTTGGCAACCGGTAGAAACTGCAACTGGTAAAAACTGCAACCAGTTAACTGGTTTTTTGTTCAGTTTTCTTAAAACTTGTTTCAAGAATGTTGTATCTTTGGTACGTATGTTTTATCTTTGGTATGTATGTTGTATCTTTGCATTATGTTAAATTTTTAATATATCTGCATATTACAAAAATAAATGTTTAACTTTTAAGGTTCTGATGATAAGATCCTTATGATCTTCTTTCTGAAACCTAGCTTTATTGTTAGTACGCTGAATTGTTTATTTTTTAAAAAGACTTTTGTGTTATCACGACTATCATTGTAAACTGAAAAAAAACAAATTAAACAACAAAAATTTTTCGTCAACAAATTAGTTTTTGTAATTTTGACTTTTGTATTACTTTAAATATTATAAATTGTAGTATAATTTTTAGTTAAAAGTAGCATATCCAGTTATGAATAGTATTAAAAAAAAAGGGTTATTTAGTAGCCACAAAAAAAAAAAAAGGATTCAAAAAGAAAAGACTTTAAAGAAAAAATGATCCAAGTTCATTAGATTCGAACTAAATTAACAATGAATAAAAAAAGATGTAAATATTACTGTACATTGATAAAAAAATTTTTAAGACCAAGGCCAAAACAATTAAGGCCACATCAAAAATTTTCAAGGCCAAGACCAAGGCCAAGGCCTCAATTTTCGGCCTTAAGGCCAGGCCAAGGACTAACAACTCTGGTTTACAGACCTATTGTAAACAATTCCAGTATATCATCTTGTAGGTTACATTTGATTTATACAACAATAAAAATTTGCTTTTATATCAAATCTGTGTAAAACCAGATATCTGGCTTTACAATAAAAAAAAACCGAAAACAGGTTTTTTGAAGTTTTCCAGTTTTCGCCAAGCCCTACTTTACACCAAACAAGTAAGATCAAAGCAAAAAAACATTTGATACCACATTTTTAAAAAATTATTGTTTCTTGATCTAGTGTACTATTAAAAATTTAAGTATAATTTAGTTTTCCATTCAAATGGTTCTTAAAGGGACCACCAAGTCCCGAGACATGTTGTGTTCATATTAAAGCAAATGTTAAAAAAAAAGTCTAAATTTTTTTTTATTAAAACTAATTAATAAAAGTAGACCAAGAAAAACAAATCTTGTTGTTTTAGTTGAAGCTTGTCTTCTCCATTTTCTGCGGTAATTAGAGTTTTTAAAATAAACGCGATTTTCCATGCGCATTATACAGACTTCATAATTTATTCAAGTGCATTTAATTCATAGGAGTTTTAGTACATGACATCATAGATTTTTTGTTTGTTTAAAACAGCGATTATTATTTTTACATGCAATACCAAATCATATTCATTTTTAAATATTTTAAATTTCTTAAATGTGTCTGTAAAAAAATTAAAAACAAAATAGTATTTTATTTGCGCAACTTTTTTTTAATAATCGTCTAGACCACATATACTTTGATTTTTTTTGTTATAAGTTTTTCTTTCACGATATTAGATAAAATCATTTTTAACCTAAAATAATGATGCACTTTTAATTTATTTACTTTGTATATATTAAAAAAAAAATTATTAATGCATATTTTCTCTGATTTTTAAAAATGTAATTTTTGGTATTGAGGTGATCTTATTTCATTATATATAATGGCTATGGAAGGTCCAAAAAGTTGGGGGAAGAGCTAAAACGAAAATAAAAAGCAGCCAGTATCATATTTTCAATGGAAAAAACAGAACTCTTCAGAAATTAAAAATGGGTGGCATTTGCTGTTTGTTCCTATGTCAGTGAGTATATACTGTAAGATGGTGATCGGCGATAAGACAAAAATCTTCTTCTTGTCCATTCATTAACTTAGTTTTAAATTTATGTGTGTAATATTTATTAAACAGTAAAATACAATTTGGAAAAAAGTATAACTTTTTTATTTAGATAATTTATTTTTATGACACTCACCTATATAAATGAGGTAATGACGAAGGTGCCTTAGGTATATCTAAAGTGATAGATGCCTGGATATATACTGGTGGATTTGAAAGTGCCAAATCTAAGTAATAAAACGGCTATTTTCATAGACACAAATTCTAAAAAAACTTTATGCGCAATAGAATATATAATATATAATTTAGAAACTTGAAGATATTCTAAGATATTTAAAACTGATTGCCCACATTTGGGAGGGCAATCAGGAGGGCATTGTCTACATTTGGGAGGGCATTGTCTACATTTATAGCTATTTTTGTTCTCATCGACACAACTTTTCAGAAAACATCCTGATATGACATAAGTATGAACATACACAGTTTTTTTTCATTTTATGAATTTCATTTCTAGTTTTGATAATTACTGTTATCGTATGAAGTTAGGCTAAAAATAAAATTAAAAAAATCTTTAAAGTAAAGGGACCAAAAGATTATTGGATCTGACGGTAATCTATGATGCGATATATAAGAAACGGATTTGTTATTGCTAGAGTAACCAATAACAGCACAACATAGCATTGTAATTTTTGTTTAAAAATTTACTCTTTATTATTTTATAACCATGGATATAAAAACGCAAAGTATTTTTGTAACTGTTTATACAATTCACATTTAAAGTAAATTAAACAGCTGTTATTTAATCAATGCAATAATTAATATAACTTGGCAAAAATTCAAGACAGATGGTGCACATAGTGAATGCTGTCACAGTGCACGTTTAAAAAATGCATTATATTGAGTATTTTTCAATTTATGTCAAATTTGCATTCAAATTAAAAAACAACATCATGAATAACAAATAAAAGTTAGACTTATATTTAATCTATTTGTTGAGTCATCAACTCAATAATAACATTTTCTTGCTATCTTCAAAAATACTCATTTCAATTTTTTAAAATCAAAAATATCATACAAATTTTACAAAACAAATTTAATTAAATATATTCTGACATGCTGCTAAATAAATTAAAATTCAGTTAAGTGTTAACATGACCGTCAGTACGGCCTTCAAAGTGAGGGAAACTTCAAAGAGTTTCTCTCCCCAATTTAAAAAAAAAATCTTACATTTTAAGAATAAAAAAGTTATCCTAAGAAAAAAAGTGGGGGGGGGGTGTGTCAACACCAGGGGCCCCTAGCCCAATGTTGACGGCCATGGATAATACCCTAAGAAAAATTTAGAAATAAAAGTTTCTAATAAAAATTTACAAAAAAATACAAAACAACCTTTATCAGTATCTTTATAAATATTATATATCATATAATAACATTAAATATTGATAAAATCCAAATTATAGCTGCCAGTGCCATGGATAGGAGGTCGGAGATCCCCTCCCTATAAAACATGTCATTAGGGTCTCAACATTTAAAAAAACTTTGAATGTTAGGTATAATTGAAATTTGGTAAAATTAATCTTAAAATTAATCTTAAATTTAAAAAAAAGAACACCTAAATTTACTGCCCCCCCCCCTTCTATTTAGGGCATAACCAATGGGCCACAGGGTGTTATTTTATTGGATGGGCAGAACAACCAAAAAAATCCAAAAATACCAAATCTACTACTAAAGCCTACTTGGTTTATAAAAAAAATTTAGTGCCATAGGAGTCCCTAGGTCCACCATTGCAATGGCCCATGTAGCCACGGCTCTGATAGCTACAAAAAAACATAAAATATTTTTCCATGTAAAGATTTTAGAAAATAAAGTAACTAACCATAGTTAGCTATTTTAGTAAAATTTAATAGTAAAATTTTTAAAGAATTTCTAGAATGTTTCCAATGACGTCATGTTTTAAAACTCCTATGAATTAAACGCACTTGAATAAACTATCAAGTCTGTATAATGTGCATGGAAAATTGTGTTTATTTTAAAGACTCCAAATACCGCAGAAAATGGATAAGACAAGCTTCGACTAAAACAACAAGATTTGTTTTTCTTGGTATACATTTATTAATTAGTTTTAATTAAAAAAAAATAGTTCAGACGTTGTTTTTTTTTAACATTCTCTTTAATATGAACATGTCTTGGACTTGGTGGTCCCTTTAAGTTGATATTTTTATTCAAATTGTTTTGCAATAAAAAAATTTGGTTTAATAAATCGAATTATATTTCTTTATGTTTAAGAATATGCTTAAATTTTTTTTTCTTAAAAAAAATTTCTTTGCTTGCAACTTTGCGTATTTATAGAAAATCTTGATATTGCTCTAAATAAAATATAAAAAATGGTATTTCATTTTTTATATTCTATTCAAGATTTCTTATTAAAATAATTTTTAGTTAGAAGCTTCAATACTCCCTTGAAATATTGTAAAAATATTAATAAAAATAATATAAAATTAATTTCAAAAATAAAGAGCTACATTCATAGTTTAGTTAGGTCAGCATTGGGCAATGCCAAATTAAGGACCTAATTCTGAGAGTTGATAATAACAATTTAAAGACGACTTTATAATTGAAATATTGGGCTTATAGCTTATTTTAAAAGAAAATGGGACTGTGAAAGGGTTAAGATAAACATCATTAAGCAAAAAAAAAAGAAAAAAAGAAAAAGAATGCTTTTGAAACATACAGTTCCTTCACAAATGTTGCATCAGGATTGGGAAACATATTGCCTTCACCTCGGCCATAAGAACTAAAAAAATTAAAAAAAAAAATCAGTAATATTATTTAAAAATTTTATTTGTAACAAATTTAGTGTTAAAAGTTTTACCTTCCAGGGCAAAAAAAGTTTATTCTTAAGTAAGAATAGTCACCTTCAATGCTTGAACTTACGTTCTAAGAAAAATATATCAAGATTCTATAAAAATATAATGAATTTTTATACAAATATCAGGAAAGATATAATTTTTTTTTTTTAACCTTTACTGTTGAAATATGAAAGGGTGTAGGGAGACCAAATATAGGAATTATAATTGCTTCATACTTTCTATCTAAAAATAAATTTTTTTAATTGCATCATATTTTTCATCTGAAAACTTAGCATTCATAATTTATTAAACAAATAGAATTTCTGTTTTTAACATTGACTTACCAACAAAACGTTTTAACATTGACTTATCAACAAAGATTTTAAAATTGACTAAGCAACAAAGATTTTAGCATTGACTTACCAACAAAACATTTTAACATTGACTTATCAACAAAGATTTTAAAATTGACTAAGCAACAAAGATTTTAACATTGACATAGCAACAAAACCTTTTAACATAAACTCACCAACAAAGATTTGCAGATCTTGCACAGTACTATCTCTTGGCATAAGAGAAATATTTTTATAAGCTATGTTTGTCTGCAAGGACCTAAAAAAACATTTTGATTTTTGAAAACAATTTAAGAACTTTAAACAACAAAACAGACTTTCAAATGCAAAATAATAGACATAAAATAAATGTTATCTGGTCAAATAAATATTTTCTTTCCAGTCTGATAATAAAATTATTTAATTTGGAAGATTCTAATTAATAATAAAACTGTAATTCCAATAATACAACAAACTCATTATTTTTTCAAAGTGCCTAATGTGCTCTCAGCACTGCTATACTTTTAAAATAAGGTCATTCTTAAATTAATTTTGTTTCTTCAATTTCTTTTAAAAAATAAAAAGTTAGATAAAGGCCATAAACTATATTAAAAATATTGTTAAACATTTTTAACATATTTTATTATACATAATATTATATCATTTAACTCTAAGATGAATTAAAAACCATAATATAATAAGATGAATTAAAAACCATAATATAATAAAGACATACAATTAAAAAAAAAAAAAAAAGAAAAAAGAAAAACATAAAAACTGACTTATCCACCTTACATTTTTTCATTAGAAGAACCAGATTTATTTTCAAGAAGACGCTTCTAAAAATGCAAAGCATAAACCTTATATATATATATATATATATATATATATATATATATATATATATATATATATATATATATATATATATATATATATATATATATATATATATATATATATATATATATATATATATATATATATATATATATATGTATATATATATATATATATATATATATATATATATATATATATATATATATATATATATATATATATATATATATATATATATGTATGAATTAGAAAACTAGATTTCAAGACTTACTCTTGCTTCTTCATTTATCTGATAAGCAAGCTCTTTCTGGTGACCTTTTCTTTTATCTTCTGCAGATATTTCACGTTGCTTTTTTTCAGGAAGAAACCGATCATCTATTCCATTTTCAACAATTTCATCTTCTATTTCCTCAGGGTCCTTTTATAAAATAAATTGATCAAATAAAAATAAACTTGAAAATAATAAACAATAAAATTTGTTTACAAATAATTTTGTGAAAAATTATATTAACAATCATTATCTATCTCTTTATAGTTGGTAGTATTAATATTTGATTTAGTAGTATTTGGTTACGAATGTTTTGTAAATTAAAGGATTTTAGGTCAATAAAAGCTGTTTTCAACATGTCCACTTTTAAATCCTTTTAGCTTGTTAGATTTAGAAAGTTCTAGAACTCCTTTTTTATTTATTATTTGTATATTATCCTACTTTTTATTATTATTGTAAACTATTATGTTGTAATAGATTATTTGTAATCGAATTTCAATGCAGTTTGTTTAATTACAAATAATCTATTATGTTATAACTCGATTACAAATAATCTATTATGTTATAATTTAATTACAAATCATCTATTATGATATAATGGATTATTTGTAATCGAATTTCAATTCAGTTTGCTCTAAATTTTTAAACTAGTTAAATAATTGCTTAATTATTGACTTTTAAAATAATTGTATTACACTAAATAAATGGTGTATATAAAATTTATTATCAACTTTTATTTCCTTAAACTTAAAAAGTTGGAATCGATTTAAAAGAAGTGATCATCTACAACATCACACACCCATTTACAACAATACTTCTTAATAATAATTAAAAAAATCATAAAATTTACATATATTCTTCTAACCTAATACTGAAAACTCATTTGAGATGACTCAAATGAGCTGTAGACAAAACAAATTATCAACTTCTAAAAAGTTTAAAATTATTTATACTGACAGGAGTATTTAAATAAAATTATGTAACTAAAACATTGAAGAAAAACGAAACAAATGATTATTGCAATAAATTCTATTGTGAATTCAGAAGCAATCAATGAACATGTTAGAAGTAAAGACTTCAACATGCTTAAAAGTCTTTGTTACTATTGTAACTAAATGCATTCTGAAATTTTACAAAATGATAAAAAAAGAAACTGTTATCAAAGAAAAAATTAAATTTTCACTAATAGTAGACAAGCTAAATAACATCAACACAAGATAGAGCTGCTATTATTGTCAAGTATGGAAGGATATTAGGCATCATATCTCAACATAGTAATAACCCTGTTTGCATTTAGCAATAACCGATGTACTGCATACAAAATAACAATCAATATTTTGTGAAAATAACAAAAAATAACAAACAAATATACAATTTTAAACATAATATATAAATATATAACTGTTTGATTATTTTATGAATTATCAAAATATACAACTAAAATTTATGTATAAAATTAAAATACTAAAAATTTTATAAATTAAATAATTGAGTTATAAAACTTAATTAATAATAGATTCAATCTACTTTAAATTTTTATTTGTTATCTGGATGTCCAAATATTTTGAATTTTCAGTATTTAATATTTAGATTTAGTCATAAATATTGGATAACTGGAAACACTAGGTATGTTACCTTCAAAAACATGCCAATATTTTTTAGTTGTTTTTTTGATGTTGTTAAAACTGTTGCAGCTTCTTTTTCATTGACCAAAACTGTTTCACCAAGAAATAATGAATAAGTTTTATTAGCCTCTTCTTTTGCAAGTTTGTTTTTTAAATTTGTGAAGCCAATGTTTACATTAAAAACCATTCCTGAATAAAAATCCAATAATTAAAAACAAAATATTATTATATAATATAACATTCTCTCTCTCTCTCTCTCTCTCTCTCTCTCTCTCTCTCTCTCTCTCTCTCTCTCTCTCTCTCTCTCTCTCTCTCTCTCTATATATATATATATATATATATATATATATATATATATATATATATATATATATATATATATATATATATATATATATATATATACACACACACATATATATTCCAGGGATGAATGCAGACCTGTTTTATTACTGTTGGATCAGTATGGGTGCCAAATAAAAGCCTAAATAAAATATCTAACTGTGGTTTTTCATTTGCTTTTTTATTAAAAATAGAAAAAAAAAGGTTTGGTTTCCAATGCAGTTGTAAATAACTAATTTTCTGTTTATTTTAGCTTGTTCATTTTTTTCTTCAAGATAATTAGTAGATTAAGACATAATTTATTATTTGATTACTAACCAAATGTTAGATTTAAAAAAGTAAATTAAAACTTATTACAATTTGAAGACAAATAAATATTTAAAAAAAAATTTTTTTCCTAAAAGATAAAACAATCTTAAAATATTAATTCGAAGCAATGTTTTCATTTTAATGTCATATCTTTAAAATAAATTTCTTGTTACTTTTTGTAATCCTAATAACCAAGTTAAATTAACTTTTAAACTTTTGCTTGTTGGCAATTAAAAGTGGACTGTTTTGATATATATACAGTGAACGCTTTATATAAGCAACTTATTTGAACTAATTTCAATAAAAAAATTTTTTAATTTGGAAAAAGTTGCTATTAGGGAAAAAAGGAGTATAAAAGTACATACCTTTTACTAACTAAACTTACAGTTTAGTAAAAGAAATAATGGTAAAAGAAATAAGTAAAATATTTCTACTTATTTCATTTACTAACTAAACTGTATAGAACAAATAAACTCAGTTTTATTTTGCAAAAGAAAATATTTAATTATTATTATTTTTAAGGTTAAATGGATGATTTGCTTTACTTGTTCCATTTGCTCACTCCATAATTTCAGTATCTGCTAAATTACAATAATTAAATATCGAGTTATAAAATCTTGCCAAGGAAATATCATCTTCTGAAAAGTGATTGTAAGGAATGTTGTATTGAATTTCCTCACTTGACGAAAAAAAAAATGTTTAAATGAATTTTGTATAACCGACACAGGAATTTCATATCATGCCTGCACCACTAAATAAATAACATCTTTCAAATTTATATTTTTCAGCGCTTAAACTTTTTCCATCTTCTGCACCTAAGGCTGCAAGACATCCAAGTAGATGTTTGCAATAGCGTTGTTTTAGTGATTTTATATCATCTAGTGGTTGCAATAATGGTGTGTTATTATTATGAGTTATTAGGGGGGAAAAACATAACTTAGAAATTTGGGTTACCAGTAAAAATATTCTCAGACCCATGGCAAATTGCAATATCTACTAAGAGAAGGGCTTTTACAAGAAGGTTTTTAGTTTTCAAGTGTTGAGTTACTAAAGGTATGAATATATCATTAAACCAGTCATTTAAAGTGTATAAGTTAGCCAAGTATATTTAGATGATTTGTAATATACTGGCAAATGGTTCTCTGAACAGAAGTTAATGTGTGTAAAAAATGCTTTTTAATATAGTTTTTTAAATTATATTTTTTTAGGTTACATAAATAATTTTTTTAGGACATATAAATATAGTTTTTCATAACATCAATGGAAAAATAATGGTCATATTTAAAAAGGTATGTAATGATAAAAATATACAGAAGAAATACTTATCTTTTCTTTACACTGTGCATTTAATCATTTGTAAATTAATATACTTTTTGAAATTCAATTTACAACTTTATATGTTCCTTTTGCTTTTGCCATTTAAGTTATTATAAGTTAAGTATTTATAAGTTACGTTTCCTTTTGACAGCAATGCTACTTTATCTTGAAATGACAAGATTTTTATAAGTTACGTTTGCTTTTGACAGCAATGCTACTTTATCTTGAAATTACAAGATTTGTGAATGAATTTGTTATAAAATAATCTTGAGGATTGTTACCAACTTGTTTTTCATAAATGAAACTGAGTTTTCATATTAAAAAAGGAAACAACATTTTGGCAATACTAGTTACTTAAAAGATACATTCTTAAAATATGAAACAACCTGCAAATTTTGCAAAATTTTTGAAACCACATTTTTAACTCTTTTGTTTGTTATAAAAAAGTGCAACCAAAAATGAAAAGGTTTAAAACCTAGGTTACCTATATTATAAAGCATCGAAATTTTAAGATACTTTTGTTAATTTACTAAATACATTAACTAAATTTGAAATCAAAATTATTAATTTTTTGGGAGTAATTAAGATAAAAAAAGTCATTTTTATTTTTTAAATAGAAACTGTCCAGGTTAAAACTACAAGATGGTTTCTAATACAGTAAAACTTTGACCTCAATTATCCGGTTATTAAAACAATAAAAATCTAAGAACTTTTTTTTTTGTAATTAGTTTGTTTAGCTCTACAAAAAAACTTTCTTGAAATTTAGTTACTAAATGTGTATAATGAAATTTTTTGAGAGCATTTTCTGTAACAGATGGCCTATTAATGCATTTTTATATCTGCCAGAACAAATAAGTTCCTGCATGCTTTACTTTGATGTTAGAAAAAAAAAATAACATTACATAATTTTAGGGGGTCTTATTGTTTATTTTTTAGCCATTAAAAAAAATTTTAACAATAGCATTATGATAAAAAAAAGATGTTTTAGAGTAGGAAATAAATAAAATTTTAATTATTTATATATTTTTATTTAATTTTTTACAAAATCAGTTTAGTAGCCCTGTCATTAAAAATGTTCAACAAATATTTATCTGCATGATTTTTTAACAAGTTCTGTCTGACTACCCAAACTTTGTTTAAAGTCAAACTAAATCTAAGAAAAGCCTTTAACAACAAGACTAAATAAAATAATTCATACATAATTGAGTTCACACATTTTTTTCATAAAAAATATTTGATAAACAAAAAAGATTTCTAGCAATTTTGAAAAAACTCTTTTATCTTTCTGGCAAGAGCTTTATTTATGCGCTTGCTAAATTTTTTGCCCACGTGTAGCCGAGCGCAAAAAGGCTTGAGTGCAAAAGCGCTGCTAAACCGAGAAGACTGCTATATAGCCAGTCTAACAAAAAAAGTATATAGGCAGTATATACTTTTTTTTTCTGTGTGCGTGTGTTCACTATGATGCTGCCAGATGTCCTTATCATCTTCAGGAGTACTGCAGAAAAGCATTTAACTAGGAAGTTCCCACCTTCCCATGTTGCTTATTGGTCTAGAGCCAGCATCAAACCTCGGACATCTTGGTTCTGAGCTAAAACTTTAACCAATGAGCCACACTGCATTTATGTTTATCATTATTTCATTTATGTTTATTATTACTGTTATGTTTATCATGAACATAAAGCAATTTTAAATCCTAATAAATTATTTTATTTAATAATATTTTTATTCAAAACAATTACTTTATAATAATTTAGCTTTATAAATTATAAAAACTTTAAAATTATTTAAATTTATGCTTTAGATATTTAGATTAAAAAATTTAAATTTATTTAAATTCGTTTATCTAAATATCTAAAGCATTAATATTATTTGCTGTCTTAACGACCACAAAATGAGATTATTTAGGATATAATATTTAATAGCTATCAAAAACTAAATCCTTGATTGGTAATCAATCAGATTCAACAACAAAACTCTTTCACTGTACACTATAAAGAACAATTTAATAGCTATCAAAAATTAAATCCTTGATTGGTAATCAATCAGATTCAACAACAAAACTCTTTCACTGTACACTATAAAGAACAATTTTGCTGTTACCAATAACACAGAAAATTACTTTTGTTACCAAGTATATAGAATAATTCTTTTGTTAGAATTAGCACAAATCATATCGTAGAAATAAAACAGAAAACATTCACTAGAACATAAGTTCTTATACTTAGTATCATAGGCACATGGGTTTTATGGACACCTGGTGTTATGAACACATATTGAATGCAACTTTATAAAAATAATAACTTATAAAATTAAACAAAAATTAAATTCAAATAAAATATAAATAAAAAAAACCTGTTTTTATTTGCTGTGAATGTTTTGAATCTAATAGTAAAGAACCTTCGCGAAATTCTATTCCAGTAACAAACCTGTTTAAACAGTAAACAAACCTGTTTACACTATAAAAGTTAATATTTTTTATCATTATAATTTTTTAATTTTGATATTTTTATTTATTTATATATTTTTTAATTCTAATTCACTTCCAACAAGGTTGCAGGCAAACCACTATTAAGTTGGGAGTTACTATGAAAAAAAAGAGTAGAGTTATATAAAGTAAGGAAGCGGTTGACTCAAGGCTTAATAAGTTGGATTAGTCAGGAAAACATGATGGGAGAGATTTCTAAAGGGTTAAAGTGAGGGAAAAAAAATGAGTTTTAGTTGATGGAACAAAAGATGATAACTCTTTTGAGCAGTGACCATGATAGTATTTGTAGAAAAGTGAGAGAAATCCAACTATATGACGATGGAAAAGAGGCTCAAACTTAGCAGATAAAGTGGGTCCAACTACACTTACAATACATTTCTGGACCTTGTCTAGAAGAGAAAGAGCATCATAAGAAGAACCAGCTCATATAATTCAATTCAATATATTCTGAAATAAGTTGTAAAATTTCAAGGACTTTTACAAATAGTACAAGTACTAATCTAAAGTAAAAACCTACAACATTACAATAAAAGTGATCATAATAACAATAATAATTATTGATATATTTTTATATATATGTATTGATAATAATTATAGAAATAATATTAAGATGACGATGAAGAGGAATAATACTAGCAACAATACTAACAATAATAATAAAAATATTATACAATCAATATTAGATAATAGCAATAATAGTGATAATAACAATTATATAGTATAAGTAGTAAATAAACTTAAGAAAAAATTAAAAAAAAGCAATAATACTTATTATGTTATAAATAAAAATAACAATTTACTAATAAAGATAGAAGAATATTATTAATATCAATACTAACAATAACAATAAAAATATGAGAACAAAAAGTTAATAATAAAACTAGTAGGTATCAAGAGAGTAGTAATAATAAAAGCATAACAACATATTTCAGAGGCTTCAGGTATAATATCTTGCTAAAAAAAAGACAGTTTTTGAAATTAGTAATTGAGTCAATTGATTTTAATAGTGAAGGTAGACTGTTCCATGATATTACACTTGGGTATTTTATGGATTTTAGACCATACTTTACAGAAGAATGATTTGGTACATGAAGATTATAGCTATTAGCAGATCGTAGATGATAGCAACAGCTTTCTCTAACAGAAAAAAAATTTGTAAATGTGCAGGGTAGACATTTTTGTTTATGATAAAAGACAAAATGGCAATTTAATAGTTAAACTAGATCATCAATTTTGAGTATTTTGGATAAAAAATAAAGATGAACGGAGTTAGATTGATAATGCTGAAAATATATTATTTTTAATGCTTTGTTTTGTAAGTTGGATAATCTTAAAATTTCTTGGGTGCGGATTTGTCCCCAAACTTGACATGCATACCCTTAGGTATGCATGTCAAGTTTTGAATCATATCTTAATGTGATTCAAAAATGGCTTGGTATATATTGATAAGAGTTTCAAGATTGACATAATGATGAATTTTAGTTAACATCCCATTCGATCTACATAGTTTTATTAACAAGTCCTTAAGATGTTGAGAAAAAGTTAAATTTGAGTCAATTTTGATTCCAAGATACTTTAGGTACATAACTGGATTGGTTTTTCGACCACTCAGCCTAAAATTTAGGTGTTTACTGATTTTAGATTGTTTTGATTTAAAGATGATAATTTCAGTTTTACTAGTATTCAGAGACAGTTTGTTAGATCGAAGCCATTGAATTAGATTAGATAGATCATGATTAATATATTTGTTTATTTTTTTTAATGATTTGTTAACTAAAAGTAAGTTAGTCTCATCAGCAAAATGGTAGGAAGATGTATATTTTAATGATAAATTGATAAAAGGAAAAGCAATGGTCCTAATACAGAGCCTTGAGGTACACCTGTAGTGCATTTTACTAAAGAAGATGTGTTACTGTTAATAGATACAAATTGAAACCTATTATAAAGATATGAGGTAAACCATTGGAGAGAAATTCCTCTAATACCATAGTATTCCAGTTTACTTAGAAAAATAGAATGATCAACAGTGTCAAATGCTTTCTGTAGATCAACAAACAAAAGCAAAAAGCTTATTATCAAGAGCTTTTCTGATAACCTCAGTGATTTCAATAAGTACATGAGTTGTGGAATGCTTGCTTCGAAACCCATATTGGTGTTTGTAAAGACATTGATATTTATCTAAAAAGTTGTAAAGTCTGTTGTGCATAGCTTTTTCAAATATTTTACTGATGTTTGACAGCGAAATTGGGCGATAGTTAGTGTGGTCAGTTCTGAAGTCTTTTCTATAAAGTGGAATAACTTTAGCTTTTTTAAAGACATCTGGAAAAATTCCATTTTCAAAAGAGCTATTTATCATTGTATAGAGAGGCTTTGAGATGATATGGGGAACAAGTTTGAGAAGAAACGTGGGAATACTATTGATACCTAAACTTTTTTTTATTTTGTAAACTTTTTATAAGACTTGATACTTCATTTTCAGTGACTGGATCTATAAAAAAGGAGTTAATATTTGGGTTATTTAAATAGTCTGAAAAATTACATTTAGGTGAAACAATTTTTGTTAACAGTGTTTGTTGTGTATTTACAAAGAAATTATTAAATATGTTTGATACAGTTTTGCTGTCTGAAATTGTATTGCCATTAAATTTGAGATTAATAGATTTACTGGAAAAGGAAGAAGGTTTGATATTAATAATTTCTTTTATACCTTTCCAAGTATTTTTTACATTGTAAAGATTATTGTTAAAAAAGATGATGTAATATGATTTTTTAGAAAGTTTTAGTAAATTGCAAATGTTATTTCTGTACTATTTAAATTTATTAAAAATATGAATTTTAATGTTATGATTTTTTGCTTTTATATATTGTTTATATAGTTTGTTTTTAATAGATATTGATTTTAGAATTCCATTGGTGATCCAAGGTTTTGATTTAAGTTTAATTTGTTTTAGCTGTTAGTTTTTTATAGGGTGCATGTTGATCAAGAATTTTGTTAAAAGTTTAAAAAAAAAAGTGCAATGATTAATTTACATTATTGTTATTTGTAATTTGTATTTATCAGTCTGCATTAGAGATATCCTGAATAAATTTTTTATTATCAGAATTTTGGAAGGTTCATCTGAATATTACCTCCTTAGTTTTTTTTTGGAGAAGGACAAGGAATGCAGATAAACTGCGCCATATGATCAGAAATCGATATTGTAAGATTGCCTGAAATTAAATCAGTTTGGAAATTTAAAAAGATATTATCAATGAGTGTCTTAGATGTAGCAGTTATACGTGTAGGTTGAATTATAGAAGGGAAAAAAGAACATAATGTATCAAGATAACTAGAGATAACTTTCAATTCATTATAATTTAACAAGTCCATATTGAAATCACCCATAAGAACAACTTGTTTATTTTCTAAACTAAGCCTCTCAAGCAAGGGATTAAAATGATCAGTAATGAATTCATTAGAGTTCATTAATGGATGTCGATATATAGTGCCAACAATAATATTTTGTTTCAGGGGATTGACGATCTCAACAAAGATAGATTCCAGGTATTTCAGAGAGTATACTATTAGATCACTACGAATAAAATAGTTTAAGTTTGAGCATAAATATAGAAGAGCACCACCTTTTTTGGCCTCAGTAGGACTATGCTCAATAGTAAAACCATTTTTATTAACATCAGTTTTACTGGAATCGTTAATATTTAGTCTTGATTCAGAGATACCAATTACTATTGGAAAAGTGGTAAGAGAGCTTATTAGACTGTGAAGACTGTCAATGTGATAAGGGAGCGAAGCGATGTTTAGATGTAGGTATAAATTACAATTATTATTAAGAACTTTATTAAGTTCAAGAATGTCATAATATTTACAGTTAATACTTTTGTTGGAGATTTTGTTTATATTATTGAATAATTTTTTGAAGTGAGGTGGAGACTTTAGAGATTTTAAATTATTGGTTGGTATAGTCTGAGACGATAAAGTTAAAGAGAGCTCAAAATCAGAAAGTGAACAAAATGGCAAATTTTTGTTGATGCAGTCACTGTAATACTAGTTAGTAGAATCTTTTTCAATAAGGCTATAGGTGTGTTTGTTGATATAATTACATTTAGGGTACAACCAAGAAGAGCAGTAATTACATAGAATTCCTTTATGGCTATCACTGTTTTATTTCGGAATTTACAAAGATTTCTTGTTAACATGACTTATTATGCTTAAACAAAGTATAGAGAAAAAATAATTAAATAAAGATATCTACTATATATTTATAAAGAAACTGAGAGATTAAGACTAAGAAATGTTAAGCTAGAAATGGTTGCTATTTTAAATACTGAGGAATGATCAGTTATAAAGAAATGATAGTAAGATATAAGAGTTTTAAATACTTTACACAGGAGAATAAGTATTACAGCTAGATAATATTAGAATATTATTAACTTGATTTAGAATATAAATTTAGATATATTAATACCTCTAGTAGCTGTAGACATAGTATAATATAAACAATATATGTTATTTAAATAATTTGATAATAATAAGGTAAGTAATAATAAGTAAAAAAGGAGATAAGTAGGAATATTAGTTACATAACATTTATACGAGATAAATAATGATGATGTAAATTGTAATAAGAGGTAAATAATGGATAAATATAGGATAAATAATGCTATATTATATAATATATAATATAATAATAATAACAATGATAACTGCTAATAATAATCAAAAAGTCAATAATAAAAACAAATCCTGGAAAATACTTAAATTTACAAATAATATTTAAAGCAAAAAATAATCAAAACAAATGTAAAAAACTCTTGATCTTTTCCTTTCATTAACTTGAGTCTTTCTTTACTTTCAATCAGTTTATTAATTTTGTAATGTATCTTGTTCTTTAATTATATTTATTTGAGTCTATGAAGTTTTTACACATCTCTAAACTTCAA